AGTGTGTACATGGGCATCTCACCCTCCCCAGCCCTTCTCATAGATGCCGAGTGTATACATGGGCATCTCACCCCCCCGAGCCCTTCTCATAGACGCCAAGTGTATACATGAGCATCTCACCGCCCCCCCCCGAGCACTTCTCATAGATGCCGAGTGTATACATGGGCATCTCACCCTCCCCAGCCCTTCTCATAGATGCCGAGTGTATACATGGGCACCTCACCCCCCCCAGCCCTTCTCATAGACGCCGAGTGTATACACGGGCATCTCACCCCCCCCCGAGCCCTTCTCATAGACGCCAAGTGTATACATGGGCGTCTCATCCCCCCAAGCACTTCTCGTAGATGCCGAGTGTATACATGGGCATCTCCTCCCTCCCTGAGCAGTTCTCATAGACGTCAAGTGTATACATGAGCGTCTCCCCCCGCCCTGAGCACTTCTCATAGACGCCGAGTGTATATGCTGGCCTGTCACCTTCCTGTCCCCTCACGCAGCACGAGCTGTGTAGTAGCCATCCTTGTTGTCCCTGTGGCCCCTGGCAGACAGTGAAGACAGAGGTCCCGGCTAGCTGTGTGTGTGGGGACCCTGGTGTTTATGGGGGTGTTGGCACCACAGGCTGTCTCGGCAGAGCACTCGGGGAGAGAAGAGGACAGGAGACAGGCCAGATGACCCCGATCTGGAAGGGTGGGTGGGGTGAAGGACCAAAGGAGGGCCCGAGTGAGGGGTCCCGGAGCAATCAAAGGAGCCACGGCTGGAACAACTCTCAGGAAGTGGGTGTCACGTCAGCTTCTTGTATCCCACGAAAGGTGGGATGAAAAGAATCCCCTTCCCAGGGCTGCCTCTTAGCCCCCGGATGTCCTGTGGGCATTAGTAGCATGGACCTGGTCAGGACAGCTTGGGTTTGAAGCTCTCCCTGCCACAGAGTAGCCGTGACCACATCTCTGTGCCTCAGTTTCTCCCTCTGAAAGGCGGGAGTGGTAGTGTTGGTCAGTGAGCTAGCACGTGCACAAGGGCTGGAGCAGAGCCGGGCAGGAGGGAACGTGCTCACATGCACTTGCCAGAACATCTTCAGGATGGACCCTGGCGCGGGTGCGGGGAGCCCTGTCTCGGGGCCACCGCCCCCAGGTCGCTGTGCTCAAAGTATGCATTCCTGTGGCCCGTCTGGCGTTGAGTGAACAGAGGTGCACGCCGTGCCTGTGCTCTGCTCTGGAGCGCCTGCCGACGGGTGGTGCTGACCCGCTGCAGACAGAGTCCTAAATACGCGGTTCCCCTTAAATTCCTACAAAACTGTGAAAAACGTCGTCATTTTGAACATCACATGTAAGATGTCCCCACATTCCTGTAGGTTTGACTCTAACCCTTGTTTCAGAGTACCCTGGGCCAAGTGTCGCCAAGCCTATTTTGGGCGTGGGAAAAACAAACAGTCCCTTGATGCTGTGGAAAAAGCAGCGTTCTTCGTGACACTCGATGAAACAGAGCAAGGGTACAGGAAGGAAGACCCGGATGCATCCATGGACAGCTACGCCAAGTCTCTCCTACACGGCAGGTGTTTTGACAGGTAACGTGGCTGTGTCTCTACCTTGAAGGAATAAGGCTTGCACAAAAACACAGCTTTGGTTCTCTTTTGTGCGCGCGCGCGCACACACACACACACACCCCTCAAGCAGCAGACTTGAGATTTTTCTCTCTCCGTGCCTGACCATCTCCGATCGGAGGCGCTGGTCAGAGGAGTGGCAGCCGGCGCCTGGAATCCAGGCAGGAGAAGGTGGTGGACGGGGCTGAGCTGGGTATCGGCTCTGGCTTGCTCCCTGAGCTCGTGACTGACCTGGAGCCTCCCTTCCCTTGTCTGCGGAGCGGTCCTGCCTGCCCCGCAGGGGGGTGTGAGGCTCAGTCCAGGGTAGGGGTGTGCGGGCGCATGGCCTCCTGGCTCCCTGTGCTTGCCTTGTGGGTCCCTTCATGTTAGAATAACATACTCTGTTCTGCTTATCTTTGTGTCTGATAACAGGGAAGTGACTGATCTAAGTTCCCTGTGTGCTCTTATTATCACTCTCTGCGGAGATTTATGAGTGTCGGCCCGCTGTTTGGGGGGTGGGGACAGAGGAGCCCATCCTGAATAAGACAAGTACGTGGTTTTCGTTTGACTTGGTCTTTTTAAACAGTTAAGTCCCATGAACGTTTGTTTTCCACGTAGGTGGTTCGATAAGTCTTTCACGTTCATTGCCTTCAAAAACGGGAAGATAGGCATGAACGCCGAGCACTCCTGGGCTGATGCGCCCATTGTCGCACACCTGTGGGAGGTGAGTGGTGGCAGCTTTGACGTGAGTGTGGGAATTGCTGTTGCAAATCCAGACCCCAGACCACGTTTCATTGTGTGATACCGTCTGATCATAGAAGGTTTCTTACCGCACGTCGGCACTTCACGTAACGTTGATTAGGTGAACAAAAGGCCTTTGTGTCTTCATTTCCTACAACTTAGTTTCCTTAAATAGAAACACAGTTAATGCCATCTCCGGGTAGAACCAAAGTAATGGAATGGCAGTGGGCTCTCGTGCGAGGACTCCAGGGCAGAGCTAAAGCAAAACCATTTCTTCTTTGCTGTGTTTTCGAGATTTTTCCCACGTGCCAAGTGTTCGGCACTAGAAGCAAGCATATTAAAATCCTGGTTGATAAAAATGCAACCACATCATTTAATTCTCAGAATTACCAAGTTATTTAAAAACCACCAAACCCCTATCAGCCGGTCCCTCTACCAGCTTGTTAAAATGCAGTGTTGGATTGACGCTGCCACTTCTTTAAATTTTAAAAAATCCATTTCTCCCTGAACTGTTGGAACTGTCTTTGTGTTTGGCACGAACAATTGAAGGATTTGCTTTCTTAACTCATCCGCCATGGTTCTTGTTTGAAGAAATTTCTAAACTCCGGGATTGTCAACAGTGGACCTGATCCAGAAATTTCTGTATTTTGATTTGATGAAACTCAAGGTAACTTTCTGTGAAAGCAACAAGGCCCTTTGAAATTCACCCTGAATGCTCAGCCTGTACTTTGCAGTCTTCTGCTGCTCTAGTAAATGGAGTGAGTAACGTGACCTAAATTTTTTGCATCTGGGGGAGCCACATCCCTGGGACTGCAGGCTGAGGACCCCACTGTCCTTCACAGGGTGTGGAGCTCGGTCGAGGACCTAAAATGATGAAATCGTAGTGAACTTGTAAAGACATCTTAACGCACGACCTCGTCCTTTGTTTTCCTCTTCTTTTTAATTTCTGTGAAGGCTTTGAATCTCAACGTTTATTTTTAAAACATTCTATCCATTTTTGCCCTAGAGCCACACAAATCCTAGAGCATGTCCTGCTGTCTCTTGCAGGGCCTTGGCACACGCCCCCTCCTCTGCCCAGAACACTCTTTTCCTGGCCATGGGCCCCGTCAGGCCTCGCCTCGACCGCATTCCCTCCAGGCCCCTCCCCTGCCTTCTCCCAGTCCTGGGTTAAGAGTGCCTGATACCCACTCCAAGACTTCTCTTGACCGTCTTATACCTGGTTGGGGCTTTGGCAAGACAGACCTGCTGTTCCTTCAGCCAAGCGAGGTCTTCAATGTTGGAAAAAGCATAGACAGGGAAAACAAAGCATTACTTACAGTCTTTAAGATAGCGGTATGGTCCCAAGACGCGAACATACGATAAAAGCGGTCAAGTCTCAGAAGGGTCTTCACCGCCGCCCATCTGCTGATGTGGTGAAGATCCAGCCATCTTTGGCCCCTGGACAGAGCAGCTAGACACGGGGTCAGTCTACACAGCGGAGTCGTCCAGGCTTGCTGCACCTGTTCCAAGATGTCCTGAGTGACAGCTTTTCTCGGTGAAGGAGACAGAACCCGAGCCACGGGCAGCCGGGACGACACCGGGTAACTTACCAGGTGGAGAAATCTGCACGTTGACGAGGCCGTGCTTCTATTTTAAGTGCTCTGGAGGAGATAAGGGTAAAGGGATTGCGTTGTGAGTCCAAGGCGATCACTCCTGTTCCTGGCAGCTGACAGAATGGCCTGTGGCTCCAGGGACGCGGGCCCCAGGAGCTCCCCACAGAGATGGGACTGACCCCGCTCTCTTGTCATGGAGCCCCGAGCCAAATTAAAACGGGAGCTGGTCTGCTCATGGCGAGCCAGTCAAGAATAAATCTGGTCAGAGCTGGATCCTGTTTGCTGCCGACGCATTTCTGAAGCTTCAGTGTGTTGGACTCTCTGGGGGCTTTGATGCAGAGCGGCTCAGACACAAATAGACTGGCTCCTTCGCTTGCTTAGATCACATGGACGCCGACCACACGGACACACGTGGCCGCCTCCACGCGCCCCCACGCTGGAGCCCCCGACCCCTCACCATCCGGCAGGGCCACCAGCCAGACTTGGGTGTGGTTTTGGTTTTTTGTGGGTTTTTTTTTTTTTGGTCTCCGCCACTGGGATGTAAGCTCCCTGAGTGCAGGGATTCCTTTTTTTTTTTTTTAAAAAAAGATTATTATTTACAGAGATATAATTGATAATTGACATACCATAAAATTCATCTTCTTAAGGCACACAATTTGCTGTGTTTGGGGTGTTTACAAGGTGGTTGGTCATACCACCATCACCAGCATCCAAGTTTAGGACATTTTCATTCCGCGCCCCCACCCCGCCACCCCTGGGCAACCACACATCTACCCTCTGTCTCTCTGACTGTGTTCTGGCCGGTGCATGGTTCCACATTCCGACGACCATAAACACTGCCCCTGGGAAGCATTCGTGCATGGGTCTTACGTGAGTGCATGTTTTCATCTCTCGCTAGTGTGTACCCTGGAGCGGACTGGGTGGGTCAGGTGGCCACGTTTAACGTTTTGAGGAAAGGCAGAAATTCTGGTCTGTTTTGTTCACTGTTCTCTCACCGGTGCCCAGAGGGGTGCTGGCCCTTAGTAGCTGCTCGGTATATACAGCTGAGTGTTGGTGTGGGTGCCCCGTGGGGCGCAAGAGAATGTCACAGTTGTGCCCGGGGCCTGGCTCACGGGGAGTGTGAAAACTGGGGGCACGGCCTCCCCCCCCGGGAGGCTCGGCCTCCTCATTTACACAGTGGGAATAATGGGGCCTGCCTTCCAGACTTGGCGGGGGGGGTGACACCCAGCGGGCACCCGGGACCTGGAAACAGGCTCCGTCGGTGCTGGAGTCCTGGCCGAGCTGCTTGCCAGCCCGCAAGCCGCGGAGCCTCCCCGTGTCCGGTTTCCTCCCCTCTACAATGGAAATAAGAACTTCCACGTTAGGTGGCTGTGCAGCGCATGTCAGGTGCGAACAAGCACGCTGCTAGCCCCGGGAGTCACTCCTGCTAAGTCTTCATTACATATCTCCTCGAAGAGCAAGGTTCTGTCTCCTCTGGAGGTCGTTTCAAAGATGCTTGAGGTAACACTGTTGACCATAGTCTTCTCTGATCTGACGCGTGTGTCTTTTTGTTTGTGACAGTATGTCCTGGCCATGGACTCCTTTCACCTGGGCTATGCGGAGGACGGGCACTGCAAGGGCGACCCCAACCCGAATATTCCGTACCCCACACGGCTGCAGTGGGACATCCCGGAGGAAGTGAGTCCGAACAACCTGGCGTGGGGGATGAGCGCGAACGGTCACAGCCCGATTGCCCCCGCGTACTTGCTGCGCGTGCACCAGCTCAGCTGGAGGCCACGGACACGGACTTGTGTCCGCGCAGGGGCCACGGAGCTGCTTGTCACAGCTCCTGCTGTCTCAGGGGCCCCAGGAAATGGTTCTGCTTCAAGTTTTGGCGAAGATGGTCAGCGAGATTGCCAGCTCAGATTTGGCTGGACGTCACAGTGAAAAAGTGAAAAAACAAAGTCACTTCCTTTAGAGTGGAAATACTCTGAGATCACTAACTTACCATTTCTGTCTCTCTTAAAGATTTTCATACACAGGCCGCTCAATAAAAGGAAGCGTTTTGAGGAAGGAAGTTTAGGGTTGGAAATACCACATTCGTGCATATCTGATCCAAGCGGTCACTCCTGAGGCCCGAGGAGTGATTCTCGAAGTAGAAAATGCCACGCGTGGGGCTACCGTGTTAGCCAGGCCTTCTGTCCTGCATCTCCAGGGCCGGTGTGCACTCCTCAGAGGTGTTGCTGCTGCCAGGGTGTGTGGGCTGAGGGTCCTTGTACCCGACCAAGTTGGTCACCGTGTATTCAAAATTTTTCTATAGATTTGACTTCTTCGAGCGGTTGTAGTTTCCCAGCACAGTTGAGCGGAAAGTCCAGAGAGATCCCTCCTACCCGCCTCCCCCGACCCAGCGCACACACGTGCCCATCGCTGACGTGGGGTTCAGCGTTAGTTAGCGGTGTGCGTTCTTGGTGTTTGGATGGATGTACGGTGACCTGTATCCACGTCCAGCCTCACACAGAACAGTTTCACTGCCCCGGATCTGGGCGCTGCCTGTCCCTCCCTGCCCCCCCCCACGCCCCGGCGCCCAGGGATCTTGTCACGGTCACCACAGTTTGCCTCGTCCAGAATGTCCCATTCTTGGAATCCTATTGAACGTGGCCTCTTCAGACCGGCTTCTTTCCCTTAGTCACATGCGTTTAGGGTTCCTCCACGTTCTCTCGTGGCTTGGGAGCTCCTCTCCATGGCATGGTCGTACCACGGCTCGTTTGTTTTTTAAAATTTGGTCTGGGGTCGCCACAGTGGATTTCACAATACTAAACAAAGCGGACTGTGCGGAATGCCCTGTGGGGTCGCGCTCAGACCAGGAATCGGCAGTGCCCCACCGGCCTTCCTCCTGCTCAGGTCACCCCGGCACTCCTGGGCGAGCAGGGGGCCCTGTTGCTCCCGGACTGTGGCTCCGGGAAGAAAACTGGATTGTGTGTGTTTCCAAGCAACAGCCCTGTCGGCTGCACGAAAATCTCGCCTCTTCGGGGTGTGTCACTGGCCAGTAAGTAACACCTCTTTCTTCTTTTTTCTCCAGTGTCAAGAGGTGATAGAGACTTCCCTGAACAGCGCCAACATTCTGGCAAATGACGTGGATTTCCACTCTTTCCCATTCCACACCTTTGGTAAAGGGCTGATCAAGAAGTGCCGTACGAGCCCGGATGCCTTCGTCCAACTTGCTCTCCAGCTGGCGCATTACCAGGTACAAGCCCGGGTTTCGTCACAAGCACTCAGGGTCCTGAGCATGTGCCTGGAGCCACTTGCCCCGGGGGTGGGGAAGGCTGGACGCCTGTCCCGGGGTCCAGCGGCTGAGACACAGCCTGCTCATAGTCCTGCGGTGGTCCAGGCCTTCTACCACAGACGGGATGGGACGTGTGCTGAGCAGATCCCCTCTCGGCGGGGGTGGGGCGAGTCAAGAAAAGACACAGATGCAGGACAGCAGAAGAGAGAATGTTAAAATCAGAGAAACTGGGATAGGTACTTCCTATCGTACTTCCAGGTGCCTCTATGGTAGTTCTTAACAAAGATGATCAAATCACGAAGCTTTCTTTTCCCAAGTAACATACTCACCGGAGTGCACGCACGCGGAGCCATTGGACAGAAGCGCGGCCATTGTAGGAGCTCTTTGTCCGATGGAGCGAGGGGACTGATAAATACAGTAACTAGATGGAGGAATCTGATCTTAGCATTACTAAGCTTGAGATTAAAAATTGCTGAGCAGACTTGGCATGTAAATACGCAGTGTTCGGGCAATAGAAGGAGGTGCCATCTCAGATACAGAGAAGATTTTCGTAAAAGAACAGCAGGTTCCGTGGTAATACATTTGCAGATCTCGAAACGATTATTTTCTGCAGCGACAGAAGTTAGTAATGCTGACCCAAGATAAAGTAAGAAGCCAGGAGGAGGTCAGTCCCCATGATGAAAGTCAGAAGTTGGAGAGCCGCCCGCCAACATGAATCTGCTTAGAAGCAGCTTCGTTGCTTGGATGAGCGTAGGGTTCCAGAGGCTTCCGAAAGTGAGGGGCCGCCTGGTTGATGCCCAGAGCCAGCTTCATTTTGGGCATGATAAGGAGCTGCATAGAGCCGCCCAGGTGATGCGAAGTGCCTTGCAGGAGCTCTGAGGATGAATGAGGGGGCCTTTCTCATCTCTGCCTCACGCACGAGGAGGTGAGCTCCCTTGCCTGAGACCCACAACTCACAGTGGCATGGCTGAACTTGGATCCAGGCAGGCTGGTTCTAGAGTCCGTGTCTTAATTAGAGGGATGGTGCGAAAGAGCCGTAGACCAGTTTTGCTCATGAATGTACATACAAAAAAGCTAAATAAAATACTAGCAAATAGAATCCAGCAGTGTAGGAAACGTGTAATCACCAGCAGCAGCTTATGGTGCCAGCAACAAGGGGATGGTTTGGTATTAGTAAATCCAGTAACAGATCAAATTATATTATTAGATCAGGAAAGAAAAAGGATAATCGTCTCGACAGATACTAGAAAGACATTGAAAACTTGGCATGCATTCCCGATAACACCTCTAAGTAATAGGAGCTGTTTCCTTAACATGATAAATAGCATCATGTATCAGTAGCCAGCATATGGCTTTAAAGGTGAAAATGTGAGTAACCCCATTAAAGCAAGGATGAGGCTGCTTTCCACTGTTCTCGAAGGCCTTTCTGTAAGTACAGTGACTGCAGCTGATGGGATAATTGGGCAGGAGGAGGATCAGTATGTCTTCTCAGGAGATGGAGACGGCAGAAAAGCTTTTGTAATTAAGGAGGCTGCTCAGGAAGGAGCCCGGAGCAGAATTCTACAAAGACCAGTATCTCCCTTGTCTAGCACTTGGCCAAGTAGAAAGTACAGTAGGGCAAGTGGAATGGGAACCAGAGATAGGAGCCTGGGATCCAGGCATACGTTTATAAAGCAGGTGGGACTTTTGGGGAGGGAGGCAGAGACAGTCTCCAACAGGGAGACAAGGCTTTGGTTTTGGGTAGAAAGTCGCAACCCCACAGAGGTGAGTGTGCCCAGTTCACACGTCCAGTGTGGACACAGTCTGAGGTCCGGAGATGATTTTGGGAAGGGAGCTCAAGTGACTGATCCTCAAGTTCATTTGGAAGAGGTGGCGTTTGAGAATAACCAGTAACATTCTGAAAAATAAAAGTAACGAGGTGGGCACTTGTTCTTCCAAAGCCTAAATGTAGAAATTGGAAGAGTCTAGTAATGAGCAAGGTGCAGCACTGGGCCGTTCTCTGGGATGAAGGCAGGATTTAACATCACTGGGAGGGAATGAGTCGATTAGTGAATGGGGTTGGAAAAATTGGCTAAGTGGTTCCTTTTGGGAAGCAAATAAACAGCCCAGTAGGAAAATGGAGTCAGAGCAGACGTTGGTGATTCACGAGACCAGAAAACTACAAATTGTTAGGGAATGTACGTGGAAAATTTAATCTTGCTAGGAATCTGATAAGTGCAACGTAAGAAAGACTGCATTTTTGCCTCTGTGATTTGCAAAGGTCTTCTTTCAATTCCGTGTTTGTACAGGGGAACTTAGGGAAGTGTGCGTGCGGCCGCTGGGCTCATACAGCAGGAAATGTGTGTCCTGAAAGTATACCCATTTCCCAGGCAAATTCTTCCTTGAGAATTGTATCCTTTATGGACAGGTTCACAAAGATGAGCTGAAACATACCTCTTGGTAAAAGTTTGAATCAGTCAAAAATGTTATCAGCATGAAACGTGTTAAATTGTATTTTTGCACAACAGACGTGTGTGTGATGGTTAAATGTGTCTATAGCGTGTTCTGTGAGAACATTTGGCCATCAGACACCACGTGAAACTTTTGAGTTTTTACTAGGGTGATCTGCAAACTGCCTATGGGCCACATCCCGCCCTTCACCTGTTTTCACATGGCCCTTGAGCTTAGAATGGTATTGTGTTTTCAATAATTGAAAGACAAACAAACAAAAAGAATGCTATTTTGTGACGTGTGAATATCAAGTGTAAGTTCAGCGTATTGTTAGCATTCAGTCACACTCGGTGTGGAGGGCCTGTTCACAGGTGTTTTGAGTGGACTGGCCAGGTGCCACAGAGACCGCCTACCTGGCCCTCAAAACTGTGATATTTGCTACCTGCCTGTTATGTTACGGAACACGTGTCCTAGCTCTTGCTTTATCCTGTGCAAAATCTAGTAGGAGTTGATGAAGAATACAGCAAGGGGCTGTGAAGGTTGATCTTTATTTTCTTACACTGTTCTTTGTTCACGTTTTTTGCACAAGGTGCATTACGATTGCTTTTTAAGAAACCCTAAGTTACTTTTTCGAAGTTACAGATCACTTGTTTTCAGGACTTATAGCTGTTCCTTACCCTCAGGCTGGAAATAATCAGGATTTTATTCTCCACCCTGCTTCCTCCCCCCACCCATGTCAGTTCTTCACGGAGCACTCAACCTATTAAGAAGGGTCAGTGTATTGAGATGACCTATTATTAAAAATGTGAGGCAGATCTTTCCGTTCAGAAGTTCTTGCGTGCAGGCTCGGTTGAGCACCAACTGCGTTAGGGACGTGGCTCTGTGGAATTGTGGCTTCGACCCTTCTCTGCTCAGCTTAGAGCTGCAGGACCTCCCCTTGGCTCTGCATAAATCCAGATGTCCTGCATGTCCTGGGGGTCTGTTCCAGGCTTCTGACCCTTCTCTGTGCCCTGGACCCTATAGGCAGTTTGGGAAAGCCTTGGGGAGCCCATCTCAGAATAACATTTATAAAGCATTAAAGGAAATACATAGATATTACAGAGGTAATCAGTTAGTAAAAATGCACGTCAAAATATTAAATGTAAATGAGTGGTGCAGTGAGTGTAATTATGCACTAAATTTATGGTGGCAGAGCTAATGACTACTGTAATTTTGAAGTCATGATAAGCGTAGATGGTATTTTGGGACATCTGCAACAACCATAATTTGTTGTGCAGATAGCTATGATTTTCTCTTCAAAGTCACCGCACTGTTGGCGGTTACTGTGGTTTGTTGGCTGTGTCTCTAAAAGCTGTATTTGAGTTTGAGGTTAGTAGACATTAAAATATATCTATTTTTCCCTTCCAAGTTAACATGTTACTAAGGTTAGTGACCATTGGTCTGATCCCTGTCTGCCCTTCCAACCTTCTCTCATAACACATCCGGTCTCATTCACTCAGTTTTTGCCACACTGGCCTTTTTGCTGTGCTCAAATATGTCAGGCTCATACCTACCTCAGGGCCTTTGCACTTGCTCTCCATTGGTGGTTGCTGTTTCCCAGATCGAGGCGTGGTTGCTCAGGTGTCTGCTCAAGTGCCCCTGTCTCCTATTTAAAATTGCTCCCACCCCCTCGCTCTTCTGTCACCCTGCCTTGTTTCTGTTCAGTGCACCTATCACTGTGTAATATTCTGTAACCCCATTTCTCCCATTAGAACATTTGCCCCTTGAGGGCAGGGACGTGATCGGTTCCCAGTGCCAGGAACGTGCTAGCTACAGAGGAATAGGCATTTGTAAATAAGTGGTGACTGACTGAATGAAGACACTTGGCGGGGATCGTAATTTTAGTCTACAGCTATTTGCTTCCTGCTTTGGGGCCATGTTTACTTTTCATTTAGAAACTAGAGGTGAAAAATTCCACATGCCACCCCCCTGAACCCTGAGCCCCGAGCCCCGGGGCTGCAATCCCAGGGTGTGACTGGTTTGTATTCTCACACCTTTTCCTGTCCATATCTCCACCGACCATGTCTTTTGATCCGGCTCATTAGAAACTGGAGGTGTTCTCCCGATGGCGGCTGGTTGCGGCAGGTGAAGTGGGGCTGCAGGTGCAACCCGGCTTGGCTCTCACGGGGGCGGGGCAGGGCTGAGCACACTAACATGCAGTGCATTAGCCAAGAGGTTTTTAGACGATCGTTTGCAAAATTATGGGTATCAATGCATGACTGTGCTGACCACTGACACAATTAAAGTTTGGTGTTGGAAAGTGGACCTCGCATAAATCAGTGCATTATGTATCCCAAGCTAACGTTTATTGAATGCCTAAAATGCCAGATTTCTACTTTTCTCTTATAGCTCCTTCTCTTCCTGCCCCCCCTCCCCCATTGCCTTGTCATGCGCCCCTTTGAACCTGCCCGCCGGCGACAGCTGGTAGGAAGTTCTCTGAAAGGCATATTTGACGAATCACCTGGACCCCCCTGCTTACCTGTTCTATTCTTATTCTCACTCTACATAGAATAGAATGAGGAGTTAGAGCCCCTCTTGGAGCCCACCCAAGGGAAAAGTAATGACTGGTGTGTGGAAGAAGTGTGGTGAGTTGGTGGTTCCTTGTGCTGGGCGTCGGGGGCAGCGTGGAAGGCTTCTGTCGGGGTGCCGCGCGTGGATGGCAGTCAGCGGTGGCTCGTCAGAGACCTCCGGGCCTGTGTTCCTCACCCCGTGGCCTGCTCGCCTCGTCACTTCACAGGCAGGACTGGGGGAGGGACAGAGCCCCGAAGGCCACTCCCAGGCATGGCCCGCTCACCGGGAACTTCAGCCTTGACTCTGGCACTGGGTTTTGCTTCACCGTATCGGCTGGTGACAGGGTGTCCTCTGTGCCCTTGGGGTCAGCAGGGCCCAGACGCCGAGAGGCGTTGTCCGGTCAGGAAGAATTGGGGTCCACAGACTGCTGTGGGCCACTTTCCCGTCCAGACTGGGAACCTGGGTGTCTTGGAGCTGGCCCGCGGCCGGGGTCAGTTGGCAGGTGATTTCCTCCCATAGCGCATGCGGCGGGACGCTGTGTGCTCCTCGGACCCTGTCCTGCACCACCTGCTGCTTCTCCCTGGAGCCCCTGCTGAGCTGTCCTCCTGTCACCTACAGGGGCTCAGCCTCAGGTGCTACCTCTTCTGTCATCCTGTCCCGCTTCTAGTCCCCGGACCCCACGGGGCCTCTGCCCATCTTGCCCTGCCCTTTCCCCCACACTGGGCATGGGCTCCTCAGCCCTGCACCCAAGAGGCCGGCTTGGCTGGAGACAAACCCCAAGGGGCTGCCTCTTCCACTTCCAATTACTGATTGCTGACTCTGGCGGGCCCCCGGGCAGCCCCCTCTATGCCCCTCTGTGCTGGTTCCCCACGCCTTCACTCTGACTCCCGGCCCCTCCCTGCTTCCCCAGCCTCAGCAGGCCAAGCCTTCTCCTTGGTTCATGGAGAAAACGAGAGCGTTCCAAAGAGACCTCCTAACCGTCCCCCCGCTTCCCCACAGCCGCCCCCCTCTGCTCCTGTCCGGTGGGGCAGCTGGCCACCTGCCCTCCTGCTGGGGGACATTGCTCCTCACCTGTCCCTTCTCTCCTGGGTCATCCTCATTGTCATCCAAACATGATGGAATATTTCCTGCCAACACCTTGTGTCTTTGAATAATTTCCAAATGTTGCATGCCCATCTTGTCACATATCCCTTCCATAAGTGTGTCTGCACTCGAGTAGGTGTGTGAAGCTCAGGAAATTGTGCATCAGTTGCATCTGGAAATAGGACCTGGGCTACCCAGAAACTGACCCCTCCCACCCACCCCCGGGCCTTTCCAAAGCTAATGATGTCTCCGTCTGCCTGTTGCACAACCCCGTGTGAAGACTGATGAGGACTAAAAGCTAAAGCTGACCGTAACCCATCCCTTCCTGTGCATTAGAGTCCATCAGCGGGCCCTGCCTTGTATTAAAATACTTTTCCTCTCCCAGGACATGGGCAAATTTTGCCTGACGTACGAGGCCTCCATGACCCGGCTCTTCCGAGAGGGGAGGACGGAGACCGTGCGTTCCTGTACCGCTGAGTCGTGCAACTTTGTGCTCGCCATGGTGGACCCCACCCAGACGGTAAGCTGGCTCCAGGCTGAGGAGGTCCCGTGCACACCTTCTCCGGGGGTGCCGAATTCAGCTTCTCTCCCCGTCTCTTTTCAAGGGAGCTAAACGGGGTCGGGACACACACAGAGAGGTTAAGACTTGCGTCGGTTCTGCAATGTCTGCGAATCAGCTTGGACTCCCTAGGAGTCTGCACTAGAATCTCACATGGCATGGGGAGGCATGGGAGTTGGTGTGTGGGTGAGGAGCCTGGAACCGTGCCATGGAACCTTCTACTCGGGGTCAACGGAGCCCGCTGCCCACACCCAAGCTCCCCCCACAGGCTCGGGGCTCGGGTTTTCCCTCGGGTTGCCCCGTCGGGAGCATGATCTGGGGAGGGGGCAGCTGCTCGGGGGGTCTTCCGCTCTGGCACTCTCTCCCGGAGACCCCCCAGTCGCCTGCTTTAATGGTGCCATCGGGCCCCTGCAGAGAAGGCTCATGTGGTCCATCCTGCATGACGTGACTCTCCCACCCTTTGTTGCTCAGGTTGAGCAGAGGCTCAGGTTGTTCCAGATCGCATCCGAGAAGCACCAGCATCTGTACCGACTCGCAATGACTGGCTCTGGGATCGACCGCCATCTCTTCTGTCTTTACGTGGTGTCCAAATACCTGGCCGTGGATTCCCCTTTCCTGAAGGAAGTAAGTCCCTGCTGCTATAGTGGCAGCTTGCCCAGGTTTCTTGGCTAAGCTGAGAGTGAGTCAGGGCAGCCTCACCAGTGGGTCTTCGGGCTCAGCTGTCATCACGGTATCAAATCTGAGCTGTGCTTTTAGTGCTGTGCCCCTTCAGTCCCCCGGGAATGCTGTGTGTCACACGTATCCTCCTGACCTCCTCGACGCAAATGACCTCAAGCTTGGGTCATTGTAAGGTGTACTCGAGTAATTAGGAAGTGATGAGCCCTTGAGTGTTTATCACTCTTGTTTTTAATACAGTTTATTTAATTTTAAGGTATGGAATTTAACTTTAAATAATGCTGTGTTGAACAAGCAGCTTGAAAATTTCCTAAAGATTAGCTCCAGCAGGGCACGGCCTCCTTTCTGAATATTAGTTCGTGTATCTGCCCCCTTTTTTCTGCTGGCGTTGGCCCCTCCAGTCCAGATGCCCTCTCTGCGCACGTACTGGCCCGAGCCAGCGAGGCCATCAGGGACGCAGACCTCCGGCGTCTGAGACAGCCTGGAGACCCAGCGAGCCTCTCCCTGTCTCCCACCGGGGCTGAGCAGGGACAGAAGAGGACAGCAGTGGGAAAAGTGTCATTAGAGAATCTCCTTGTTCTACTCAATAGGTTTTATCTGAGCCGTGGAGATTATCGACAAGCCAGACTCCTCAGCAGCAGGTGGAGCTGTTTGATTTGGAGAGGAATCCGGAATATGTGTCCAGCGGAGGGGGCTTCGGGCCAGTAAGTGTCTGAGTGTAGATATACACGGAGCTGTGTATCTGGGGACTGGACGTGCCCGTCCGCCTCCACTGTGGGTCTTCGTGGACTCTGAGCGCTCCTCGTTTCCTTGTTGGTGAACCCCCACCCACCCCGAGGAATTCTGCAGATGATTAATGCAGGTGTTTACGCTGTCTTGTCTGTAAAATGTGAGAGAGTCCCCTTTCCACATCCTCTCGTTCCCCGAGGTTAAACTTCATCTTCCCTGGTTCTGTAGGTCGCCGATGATGGTTATGGCGTGTCATACATCCTCGTGGGAGAGAACCTCATCAGTTTCCATATATCTTCCAAGTTCTCCAGCCCTGAGACCGTAAGTACAAAATGAAGCCCCCTTTCCTAAAGATGAAGTATTTTTACTGTTTCCTTTTTCATTTGACAGGCATGTTTTTCCTTAATTTGACAGAAAATAGAAGTTCGACTATATGCTTTTACTCAGTTTGGACATTTTCAGTAAATGAGTTTTTAAATTCTTTCACCTAATTTTATTTATTTTTTTAAAGATTTTATTATTTGAGAGAGAGATCGAGCATGAATGGGGGGCAAGCAGGGGCAGAGGGAGAGGGAGAAGCAGACTCCCTTCTGAGGAGGGAGCACGACATGGGACTCAGTCCCAGGACCCTGAGATCATGACCTGAGCCGAAGACAGATGCTTAACCGACTGAGCCACCCAGGCGCCCCTCTTTAACCTAATTTTAAAGAAATGATCTTATTTGGTTGCAAACGTTTGTCTTTGCCTATAGCAATGGTCTTAAATCTTCACGTGGGAGTGCTTGTATAATTCTCAGACTCTGATATCGGAGGGTGGATGGAGGTCAGCGCGCACATGCTAAGGAGAACGCAGATAAGATGACGCAGGGCCTGCAATGTTCTGTGGGAGTGGAAAACGTGACTTCCTTCCTAGCATGGCACCCTGAATCCTTGTTTCTATTCTGCCTTTCCACGTTGTGTATCCCCTGAAAGCACGGCCAAGTTCACCGTTAGCAGAGAGGATTGGAATTCACTTATTTATTGTGCTTTATGTGATGCGTTGATGTTAGGGGAAGCCTTGCATCAAGACGACAGCCATGTGAACTTAGAAACTGTTATCTCTTTGAACCCGCAGCGTTTCTCCAGAACGTGTAACTTAGTGATTAAGCCATTCAGCCAGAGCCCAGAGAACTGGCAAAAAAGGAACTTTTGTTCTTTGAGTCAGGTTCCAAGTGTAAAGGCTTGAAGCGTGGGGGTTTCCATGTTGTAACGTGCGTTTTCGTTTTTTGTCTTCACACGAAAGGACTCGCATCGCTTTGGGAAGCACCTGAAACAAGCAATGACTGACATCATCAGCTTGTTTGGGTCCAGCGCCAACTCCAGAAAGTAATTCCGCTAGAGCCGTCGTGAAGGAAAACGAGCTCTTCCGATGAAAAACCAAATGAAAATTAGCTGTCGATCCTGATTGTAGTTCAGGATGCAAATTTGCTCTACAAAACTCAGAAGTTTTCCTTCCATTGAGGGTTTGGTGTTTTTCTTTTTATAGAACAGCAGGTCTCCACCACATGAAGTGTAACTACTTCCTGGCAGGTCCTGACTTTGGGAATGTTTTGATAAAGTGCTCCCCCTCCCCAAAAGTTTTTGCATCTGCCTGTGTTGACTGAGGGACGAGAATATGGTTGAGCTCTTGAAGGGATTAGTGGGGTTGTGACTTCACACATTGGACATGCAAGTGGCACGTTTCCTCGGGGAGTGACCCAAGACCTGGTACTTAGGGGCATTTCCTTTTAGCAGAGCTGCTTTTGTGCAGAGAGGAAAGTGGTCGAGTTTTGGAGAGGTTAACCATTCATAGCTGACGCATGTGTAACACACTAACGGAGATACTGTGCTTCTGGAAACAGTTTTTGTCACTGTGGGTAACTGTGTCATCAGCCGGTTTGGTAGCCTGTATTTGCCTCCCTGTGTTGGAAGTGCGTAGTCCGCCCCATCTTTAGTTTTACTGACCGTGCAAGTCTTCAAAACCCAGTGCCTTAAAAGCGGAAGACCCTAAGCGAAAGGGAGACCGTGGGAAAGATTTCCTGTGTCAGGTCTTCAGGTGGACTTGTGAGTGTCTTGCTCCCCTTCTCAATTTACCGAATGGGTAACCCTTAAATAAGTGTTTCCTATGGTTTCCCTGCCCCTAGAAAGGCCAGTTCCCTCCTGAGGGCAGCTGGGCTGGATTCCCCCATCATCAGACTGCTTTCCTTGTGTCATTAAGCAACAAAAGAAAGGGTGTGTGGGTGTGTGTGTGTGTGTGTGTGAGAAAGAGAGAGAGAGAGAGAAATGGGGAGCAAGGGATGTCATGGTCAAGTGTGAGGTGTCTGGAGCAGTCACTGAAGAAGAAAGTATAAGCCGTGGCTCCGGAGCACCCCTTACCCAAGCTGACAGCAAGGGAGGGCATGACATTTACCGCTGACAAAGGAATAAAGCTTGAGAAACAGGAAGAATAGCCTCAAAATGGTCAGGAGAGTGCAGCGCCAGTCAGCTCCAAGAGTGCTTTCGAGTCCCACCTGGCGAGAGAGAACCACTCTCCTTTCCAGAGGAGATGGAGGGAGATGGAAACGGCAGGCCACGTCATCTTGGTGACGGACGAAAATGTCGCAGGTGACAGGTGCTAGGTTTAACACAGCCTGCCCTTCAGATGGGTGTGCCTTTATCTGAAAGCGTCTGACCGACCAAAAAGCAATTATGCACTGAATCGTCTTCAGTATTTAATGTAAAAATAAAGGATCACGGAATGAGAAAGACCCACTGCCTCCGGGCCATAATGACCAGCTTAGCTGTCCATTTTTAAAACTGTGTATTTATTCTTCTGACCACTCTGTTCTGGTGGGGCCTGCCTCTGTGAGAGCTGTGCACTCTGGCGATTACCAGGCGGGGCTATTGGAGGAGACGGGCGCCTGCCGCAGCGCACCTCCATATTTTATATATGTATATGTGATAATGTAAAAATCCCACCTAAACGGGCCAAAGATTTTTTTTTCTCTTAAAAGTAAGAAGAAATGAAAACAAACAAAAAACTAAAGTGAAAACCAACAAGTACAGTAACAGCCCCCGCCCCCCATTCATCCATGGTTCATAGTGGAGGAGGTGTGGGGGGAAATGGCCCACTCTGCCCTGGCCCGGCGTGGCTTCCAGTCAGAGCAGGCATCAGCCACTATCAGAGCCACCCCAACCCTCTGCTATCGACCACTGACCTTAGCGTTCCCCTGTGAATTCCAGTGTTGCCGTGTAGCACTCAAACACGTTTGGGCTCGTCTCTCAGGTTTAAATATTTCAAATGTAATTAATTGTTAACCAGTGCAGTTATCAATGCAATTTTATATTTCCTAAAAGAAGGAAGAGTGGGTTTTTATTGTACATGTTGAAAGGAGGAGGGAAGAGTATTATGTATTTAATTTAATTTGGAATAAGCCATAGTCTTAAAAGAGCTGTGGTTTGAATTTGTTATCTTGGGCTGTCCATTGCATGTAAATACAAGATGCTCTTTTGGATGTAAATCTGGGAACTGTAGTATGAATGTTATCATTAATAAAACATTAATCCCAGCCTTTGTTTCTGGCTCTTTTGTTATATGAATAAAGAGGTTAGAAGTCAGGGATGAAGCCCAGGCGCTGGAGACAAAGGAGAGAGACTGCAGGAGGCTTGCACAGATGGCCCGGCCTGGGCAGAGTGGACATGACAAGATTCACTGACCTGCCTGACAAGGGCAGCTGCTGAGTTGGGCTATGGGTTTCCACTCTACGTTTATGCATTCTCTCCCTGCTCCCATGCCCGGAACGGTGTCTGACACATAGTACGTACGAATCAAGTATCTGTTAGGCAAACGCATGAATTCAGTTTTCTCAATAGTCTTTATTGAGCGCCTACTGTGTGCTAAGCTCGGTACAGCCGGGACAGCATCAGGCTTTGGCGGTGGTGGAGATCAAATCCAGTGGGAGGAGGACAGAATCAAGACAACCATTCAAAGGATCCTCAGTGTCCAAGGCAGATGAGAGGATCACGTGTGGGCAGAGGTAGCTGGCTGAGAAAGGCGGCCGATTTGAGGGGAGGCCTGACTCACGAGCAGCTGGCTTTGGCTGATCCAGCAGGGCTGGAAGAGCATCTAGGAGTGTTGCAGAGGTCCTGGGCCTTCGAGTCTGGCCAGTTTGTGAGTCACCCAGGTGGCTGTGCACATCTGATGCTTGGGAGCAGCTCTGTAAAAATGTGTGAATGGTACGGTCTTGTGGGTTGATGTGCTTGCTCAGGCTACTCAAGCTAGTCAGATTTTATTTTTTTAATGAGGGCTCTTCAGTTTATATCAACCGCATTCTCAGTCCTGCCCTGAACTCAACTGACTTCAACTGTGATGTGATTATGTTTCAGCCATAAACCCAGAGTAAGGCCACCTACGCATGCAGCTGTATGTGAGGCCCTGGAAAGGCTGGAAGGACACACAGCTGACTTAAATGTCCCCTTTAGCAGGCAGCACGACTGGGGATGGCATGGTCCTTAAAGGAACTTCGGCTCTATCTGTAAATATTTCAGTATAGAGTTTATTATCCAGCGAAAGAAAAGAATCTATCCTAATTTTGATCTAAAGAAGTCAGACTGGTCTGGGGGCCTCAGTTTCCCCATGTGAGCCTGGAGCTGAGGACCCTGGGAGCGCCCTTTCTGGCCCTCCTTCCCGCAACAGCCCGCCCC